TGTGGATGGGGGTTTACAGAATAGAGAATAATGGGCAAAAAATGTAAAGAATAGAGAATAATGAGGTGTTAAAATATAAAGAATAGAGAATGATGAGCAAAAATTATAACGAATAGAGAAAAATGACCTAATAATTTAGGAATATAGAAATGGAGAACGCAACCCCCCCCCCCCCCCTTTCCCATCCAGACTCTTCCTTTGTTACAAAATAAAATAGAGATTCTTCGAGCAAAATGATACCTCTTTCCTACCAAAGTCCATAATTTGCGAAGGGAAACCCTAAAAGTAATTGATATTAGAATCGAAATAGGAGGTGCACCATGGCATTATATGATGTAGATTCTGAAAAAAAATCATCAAATGTTGATTAAGGGTTAACAGGTAGAAGGGATATACATGTGTAATGTAGTGTGTAAATGATTTCCTGATGGAAACCGCAAAATGATTCTAATAAAAAAAAACATAATGGTAGATGATAAAGCCTTTAGGTATTTTGTATTAAGCTTGACGATATCTGACTTGAAAAGTCAATCGAAAGCGACGTTGTCGAAACCGGAAGTATTTTTGTGCACTTATATCATGTTAAAGAACCTAGAAACCATATATTTTCAGAATCAGTATGAATCAACTTTCATATAAGCTCAAAGTGACATTTCCTAAACTGGAAGTAGCAAATTATCTCCCTAATTGCAAGCACTTGTATATTGAAACCATATATTGTTCGAATCAGTGCAATGAAAGCTATCATATGAAACCGGATGCGACATTTTGTACGTCGAAGGAAGCCAATTAGCTTTCTTTTTTGAAAAAGGAAATACGTAGAAACCATATATTTTTGAAAAGTGTATTAATAGTAAGTTTTCAGATAACCCCGGAAGTGACTATTTTCAACCGGAAGTAGCTGAACTTTCTTTTTTATTTCTAAGAAAAAACTATAAACTATATATTTGTTTTACAATCTGTAAGATGTATTATCTTCTGACACCGTTTTTGTTTACAAAGGTAACATTTTTGTAATTAAAAAAGTTTTGCATTTCTATATGTAAGTTCTTAACAACATGTGAGGTGTAAAACCCTTCAATTGTTCTCTGAACAATTGGTTTTTAGTTGTTGATTACATTATTATTTTATTCACCGTTTTATAGTCTAATGCATTCTGGTTAATATTTTCAACTGCGTATGCCAAAACGTTGTGATTGGTTAAAAACGTCCCAAACAATGGATATTTATCTAATGAGGTGACGTTACTTTCATTTTATGGTACGAACAAGGAAATAATCAATTGTCCTTCAGATTCTGAAATGTTGAATAAGTCACAACCGATGAGTAAGTATCAACCAAAAGCAGATTGGTAAATTATTTTAGTCTCACCCTAAAATATTCATAAATGTATGAAGCATAGATCTAACCCTTATATATAAAGTTGAAATTTTCGAAAGGATAATGTTGGTTTTCAGGACAAAGAGTAAACAACACCGTAATCAATGATTGGTTGGAGTGCCCGAAGAGAACCACCACCCTTTGGCTGGAAACCTGACAATCTTCTTCAATTAAGATTGGAGTCTAAAGCACCTGCCACGTGTGGGATTCGAACTCACAACTTCAGTGTTGACAGGCTAGTGGTACTGTAGATGATTTAACTACTAAGACTACTCTGCCACCGAGGCCCCGTACCGTAATCGAGAGAAACAACACACCCTTTGAAAATGAAAATTACAACATTAAGTTCTTACAAGCATTGGAGTGCTTCGCTGTTTCATACTTTTATGAAAGATGTGGTTTGTGTGGTTGTTTAACTATGGGAAAAGTGTAATGTATCTCCTTTGTGCATATACTCATAATTGTGGTACTGTAAGCACGTCTAATTAGATGGGACGTATTATCGTATACTGTAGTTTGTCCGTGAAAACTTCCTACAAAAACTCAAATTTGCTTTAACCAATTTACACACAATTCTAATAGAACATTAGGATAGATAGAAGAAAGCTTAAGTTTTTATTTCATATTGTTTTGGTGACGTCATTCCAGAGATAATGTTTGATTTTGAAGGAAGTTCACAGTTATATAGGAATTTAACGGTCAGATTGATAAAAGGTAATATTCTACCTGTCATGCAATAGATCTAGTATACTTGGATTAATTTACTACAAACTTTACACTGTTGTTGGTATTTGTTAATCTAGACTCGCTTTGGATTTTATACATTTTATGGATTGTCGATCCAGAGTCATGTGACTATAATTTTAAAACAATCATTTTTGATGCAACAATTATTTGCATATGAATACACTCATGCATTTTTTCGTACACAGCCATTTTACTAACTTGTTATTAGATCATGTAGATGCCTCTTCAATATTAAAGATCATTCTGACAAAAAACTTTAATGCAGAATTCGGGGGTATCGTGTGCTCTTGGCTTACTGTTATTATTTATTTATTATTTTATATACATATATATATATATATATATATATATCAATTGGTTTTAAAACATGGAATACATATTGCTGTGTGTTTATTTATTCACCATTCTCTAGAGATATAGGGGAAGGGTTCAGATCTCATAAACCATGTTTAACCCCGCCGCATTTTTGAGCCTGTCCCACGTCAGGAACCTCTACCCTTTGCTAGTCTTGTTTTTTTTTTTTTTAATTTTGGTTCATTTGTATGTTTCGGAGTTTAGTGTGGCGTCCATTTTGCTGAACTAGTAGTCGTTATTATTTGAGGGCCAGCTGAAGCCCGCCTCTGGGTGCGGGATTTTTTTTCGCTGCGTTGAAGACCCATTGGTGTTTTTGGGCTGTTTTCTGTTCTTTGGTCAGGTTGTTGTCTCTTTTACACATTCCCATTATACATTCTCTTTTTTATGTATTCTGACAAAACTCTTGAAGATGCTTGGCAGTAATAAATATGTTTTTTAAGTGTTGGTGTATATGCATATAGTCAGATGAGCACTCAAAAACTTGTTCATCCTTGCCCCTCCTCTTATTCATCAATATGAATTGACGCGACATTATATAGCAGGGTAAAATTATTCATTGATGGGGTATTGGGTCGGGTCTTGAATACCCATACAGTTACTTTTTTCGTAGTTAATATATTCTCCTGTCCGTTACATGTTCCCAATTCTATATCTTATACTAGCCAATAGAATCTTTCCAACATCATAAGACAAACAAAGAGAACCGATATTTGTTACGTAATAATTCTAAGATATAAAACTAATAGCTTCGCACCGTGATGCGAAGCAAAAAGGAACTGGTAGTGTTATTGCTTGTTTTCATTCTAGTTAATGACCTTTTGACGAAAGATGCTATTAAATGTTTAATCATTTCGATTTTAAACGTTGTGCATACACATATCTAGAGACCAATTTTTCACAAATGTGTTGACCTTCCTTTCTCGATTCGTCCTTTTCATATTTTTCATGTCTAGCCTTTAATACCCGTCTATACCGTTTGGGTTTTTCTCATTGTTGAAGGCCGCACGGTTGCCTATACTTGCTTACATCCACTTCATTTGAACTTAGTTGGATAGTTGTCTAATTGGCAATCATAGCACATCTCCTTATTTTTATATTAACACAGATGATACGATAATACAAGAATAGTTTTATAATGGACCTTAAGTGGAATTTCCGTTTACGGCATTTATTAGGGTCCGAGAGGGGTTTACAGAACAGAAGAATATTGGTCAAAACTTGCAGAATAAAGGGCGCAAAAATAAAGAGTAGAGAAAGATACTGTTAGAACATCTTTCGGAAAATTAAATAGGCACCACTGATTAATCATAATAGTAAATAAAATACATTTTGTTTCGAATCTTGTGTTAAATTGTCACTTAAAATGCCTCCGAAAATACGTGGGCTATACCTAGGCTAACACTTTAAACTAAACATGCCTTAGCCATTCCCTCAAATCAGTACCGTCAGAACAAATATTTTCGTCTGCAAGACTGAAATTTACCAAGTTGCAAAACCGACTGTACAAAATAATAGTTGACAAGAAAATGTTTCCAAATAAAAAATATTCGTTGCATCCTATGGTGACCCTCAGTGAATAGTTAAACTTCTAATCCTTACGCCTTTGTAAACATTAAATGTGTGTTCTTACCGATTACCAAATACTATTGATTGATATGGTTTTTCCTTGTTATAATTTTTAAATAGTTGTTCATTAAATCAGATTGATTAGATTATTGTTTTTTTTTTACTTAATTAGTACCTGTAGGTAGTGAGCTATTAATTATGGTGTGTAAGTCTTTGTCCCAGATACTTATGTAGATTGTTTTCGTCCTTTGAACAACAAACCACAGAATGTAAAATACGTATTTTTTTCATTTTTCTGTATTGTCGATATATTCCTTTAAAATATAAATACTTTAAAATAGGCAAAAGAAATAAAGAACAGAGAAAAATAGCAAAATAAATAAAGAATAGAGAAAAATAGGCAAAAGAAATAAAAAAATAGACAAAAATAGACAAAAGAAATAAAGAAAAGAGAATAATAGCAAAAGAAATAAAGAATAGAGAAAAATAGCAAAAGAAATAAAGAATAGAGAAAAATAGGCAAAAGAAATAAAGAATAGAGAAAAATAGGCAAAAGAAATAAAGAATAGAGAAAAACAGGCAAAAGAAATAAAGAATAGAGAAAAATAGGCAAAAGAAATAAAGAATAGAGAAAAATAGCAAAAGAAATAAAGAATAGAGAAAAATAGGCAAAAGAAATAAAGAATAGAGAATAATGGAGTGTTGAACTATAAAGAATAGAGAATAATGAGCAAAATAAATAAAAATTCCAGAAAATGGTCTACAAAAAAGAATAATGAAATGAGGGCCCCCTCCCCTCCATGTAGACCCTAAAAAATGATGGAAATAAATTTCATTATGTTTGGCATAATTTTGCATGTTTTGATTATAATTTCAATGTTTTAATATCAAATAAGGCATTGAAAAAGCTACAACTTGTTGCTGGTGTCAAATTTTATTTTGCAGGATAGATACGTCATATTCTTCAACAATCTGCAGCATTAAGATGGAATGGTACATTTTACGCCGTACTGAGTCGAAATTTCTACTCCGTCGTAATAGCCAAGAACTTGCTAAAAAATAAAAATAATGTAATACATGTAAGAGTTATATATGCATTTACATTATCACAATAAAAACAGGTTCCAATACTTTAACATACACAAACATCAAACAATCACAAGAAATATATAAAAAATCTCAATATGAATCTTAGGAAATATGACGTCTTTAAGGCAACCACCTAACAAACAAAACACAGACATCTTAATGTCAGCATAATTATGTTTTCATTGGTAGACAAGCATCCATTATATATATATGGAAATCTTATGTTCTGAATCGATCGTAGTGAGGGGCCTCGATTGACGAGTGATCTAAGTAGTTCAACTACTGTATCACTAGCCTGTCAACACTGAGGTTGTGAGTTTGAACCCTGCACGTGGCAGGTGCGCTCGATTTCAATCTTAATTGACAAGGATTATCAGTTTTTCTGAAAGTGGCGTTAAACACCAATCAATCAATCAATCGATCGTAGTGTTGACAAATTTTCAATCAATTCAAAGGGAAGATTTTAGTGCATCTAATTCTTTAAAAAACATCACACATCATCCTCAAATGACCGTAAGTGGTCAGAATATAATTTTCAACTAAAGATATATATTTGTTATAAACTCGTTATATACTCTATTTGATCCGAAAGTTCAACACCTTATCCTCCACCTTACCCATCAATTTCAGATCACACGGCCACGTGTTTTTGAACACCATTCTTAAAGTGGCACGGTAGTATTTACTTTCCGGAAACGAGGTTGCTCTTTTGTGTACAATGTATCTGAACACTGTGACTGGACAAATATACAGCATCTACTGAACGTATTTTCCCAAAACTGAGGGATGGATCAGGTGTAGAAAAATATGAAATAATTTTACATACAGTTGAAAATGATTTGATGAGAATTGTTTTTTAATTTTTATATTTACTGCATGATAAAAGACCTAAAAGCACAAGTGACCTTAGGTTATAAAGATAGCAGAAAAAGCAAACGGTCATCATACATAAAATCATTCTCATTTATCTCTTAACATTATAATGAAGTATTTCAATAAACTGTATGTAGGTTCTGGGTCAGTGTTAGAAAGTAGTGAAAATTCTAAAAAGGCTATCATTATCCCTATGGCCCAGGAAATACTACCGTGCCACCTGAAATAATATAACAATTAGAAAAGTAAAATAAAAAAAACCAGGCATAAACGGAACAACTAATCTAAATATCGTCTTAAGTCAACTTTGCCTCAAAGCGTTGCATTATTAGTTAAATTACATAAATTTTAGTTAAATTACATTATTCATAAATTGCAGGATTAATACTTAAACACTTCGTGTTGCTTAGTCTTTAGTTTTGTATGTTGTGTCTTGTGTACTAGTATTTGTCTGTTTGTCTTTTTCTTTTTTAAGCATGGCGTTGTCAGTTTATTTTCAATCTATGAGTTTGACTGTCCCTCTGGTATCTGTCGTCCCTCTTTTAAACTATATCATACAATTATGTCAGAACTATATTAATTGGCGCTGGGTAAGTGTTATGTGTCTGGACCTACTTAGTGGTAGCTATATACTATACATATATTATCACAGTGCGTAAAGTGTTATTGGTATTAAATTTCCTAAATTTTGATTATTTGATCATTTTACTATTTTATCCTTATCGATACATACTGAGCAACTATTTTGACCGTTGTATCCCTTTTGCATCACATGTGTTGAGATTAAACTTGAACGAGTACTTGTTGTAATACCAAGAGTTACATATGGGGAACTGAACTGAGTAGTCAATTCAATGTATGAAGCTGAAAAAAGATATAAAATATTCGTTTATCAATTTATAGAAGTAAACATTAATAGTAAGTATGTTCACCATATCTATAATATTAAATGAGCGAATTTGGCGGATTTCCTTGAAAAGGCTTATTCAAGCTGAAAGAGTTATAGTTTAGATTGTGCAGGTTCTTCTAGCATTACCATGCAAGCTCTTTCAATCATAAACTATTTTGCGTTTCTTTTTTACAAATGCATTTTGTTTGCTATTTTGATAATCAAATTCTCCCCACTATAGAACATTCTGGAATGTCTTTTGACACCACAAATATTCATACAAGGTTTTAGGATTGATTTTTTTTTACAAAAGATAGAATAAAACTGTCCCTTTATCCCTCTGAAAAAAATAGTTATTTGCAACATTGTTGTCAGTCAACTTACGTTCATGCTCTCCTCGAATAGTAGGCACAGCTGAAGGAATTGCTGGTCCACACTCAAGGTCGCCCATCAGAATAACTTGACTTTGTTGTTGGAATTTATCATTTATACATTCAGCTTGCTCTAGGTTCTCATTTGCAAAAGAGCCGAAATACTGCGTATCAGCTGATCGAATATAAATATTAGACAATTAAAGCAATTAATGTCAGTTAATAAGATTTGTATATATTTTTTTTCATTTTAAAGACGTGTTACAGTTGAATTATTCATGTATGTAAATGCAGAGCTTGATCGGATGTGTTAATTACATTTCAATATTTGGACTCACTGAGCGTCTTTCATTGCAACTTGTTTTAAGTTGTTCCTGTGCTAAAGATATCTGTAAAACTTGTAATTCCCTAGCAATGTTTACGGCTTAATTCAAATATCATCAAATCTCAAAATAGACATTTAGTAAATTAAAGATGAAGAAAGTAACGCCGATGTGTCTGAGACTGAGAACGTTGCAGGTGCATTCGACTCCAATCTTAATTGACTAAGATTGTCGTCAGTTTTCGTACCAAAGGTCGGAGGTTCTCTTCGGGCACAGGCTTCCTCCACCAATAAAAGGTGACGTCCACGAAATAGCAAAGAGTACTGAAAGTGGCGTTATACACCAATCAATCAATCAATATAAGACTGATATTTTTCCACCCTTACATTAAGAAAACAGTGATAAATTATTTCCGACATAAAACAACCCAAGTTGTTTAAACAAATATCTTATTTTCCACCTCCTAGCAGATTTGTATTCAATGGGTCTTTGAAATAATTAAACATATTAAGGAAATACTTACGTTCGTAATATTTATCATTTGAAGCTAGTTGCATATTCGTGCAAGCTATAGTACGACCTGCAATCTAAAATAACAGAACAATGAACAGTAAATGCACATGTATGGGGTCTGGATGGGTATTAACAGAATAGAGAATAATGGGCAAAAAATATAAAGAAAAGAAAAAAAAGGACCAAAAAAAAAAAAAAAACAAAATTGAGAATAATGAGGTTCTTAAATATAAAGAATAGAGAAAAATGGCATAAAAAATTAAAGAATACAGAAATCAAGGACCCTCCCCCCCCCATTCTACTTTCTGTTTAAACGACCTTTCGGGATCCTCAAGTTTTGTCGTAATGATACACATCTTCAAAAGTTGCAGGCAGACATTTCATTGGTTGATATAAAAGTTATCAAACTAGAAAGTAGGACGGAGTGTTATCAGAATGATCATTGTCAGAAAAATGAATAAAAATAAATTGAAGAGAAAAAGTTAAATATATGTTTTACATGTATACATACTTCAACAATTAATTTGCCTTTTCTGTTGGCCTGTTTTTCATTAACATAAAAAGATGATTCCGCGTTTTCTATCGGTGCTTTACTAAGTATCATGTTTCCAGCAACGTTAATATTTTTAGCGCTAAATACACATTTTGCTAACGCATTTGCAGGTCCGGCAGTACCAACACAGGTAAGACACTCTTGACTCAACGCTGACCAAGCACTACATTTTTTGATACCACAATCTAAAATATATTCAATATCGGTCTGGTCACTGCATCTTCTTGATAGGCATAATAGTTTCCAGAATGTCCTAAATCCAGAACAAGGGGATTTCCCTGCGGGTAAAAGGTTGTTGTTTAATCCATGAATTGAGCTGTAGACATTTGAATATTTAGCAACTACAGCATTTGTTACACTCTGTATATCATCCTCGTGGAAAATCTGAAAAAACATATCAAATGAGGTAGAACAAACAAAATAAATATGAAAGGAATCGGATTTTTAAAATTGAATGTACTTTGGAAGGTTCTCAAGGTAAAGTCTTACCAACATACGAACTGCTAATACAAAGGAGTAATGAAACAATTATTTACATCTTAAATGCAATTTTAATGGAGAAACTAAAACAAATCAACATAAACGCATATCTAGGTGTCAACAAAAACACTAGATCACAAACCAGTGTACAAAAAAATAAGAAATGAAATTTGTTTTAACTTTCCGACCAATTTCATTACTAATTCGGTCATAAAGTTGCTCAGTTGTAAGTATTATATTTTGGGGATGTAGACCAATGTTCAGGAACATAATCTTCCGTGTCATGAGGGTCTGGATGAGGTTTACAAAATAGAGAATAATGGCCAAAATGTGCAGAATAAATGGCAAAAAAAAAATAAAGAATAGAGATAAATATAGGGCAAAAAAATAAAGAACAGACAAAAATATAAAAAGTAGAAAATAATGGGCAAAAATATAAAGAGATTGAGAAAAATGACGTAAATATTACAGAAATGAAGGACCCCGAAAATTCAGAACCTCAGTTATTGGTATGTTTGTGTTAGTCATTTTCTAAAAAGTTTTTTAAGTAACACATGTAATTAAATTTTTTTTAACACGAAAACTTTGAAAAAAAAATATGTTGCTGACTATTACAAATACGCAGAATGATGTATCCTCTTATGTCAATTATTTACACAAACCTGGTTTAGACAAACAACATCTGCGTCTACGGATAGTAGTGCTGCAGGAAGTTTATCTAGTCTGGTGTCTTGATTTGGAACTGAAGGTACCAATTTGGCATTGAGAGCCAAAAAAGTTTCGGCTATACCATTGCCATTTACGTTTGGTTTACTGTACGCTGGACAATTTAAAATTCCACCAGAAATCAAATTGATCGAGCTCATTAAGAGGCAAAACACGAATTGCTGTTTTATCCACATCCTAAGAAATAAAGGAATAAATATATTCATATATGCATATATATGTGATGTATATTCATATATGATAACAAATTAATGGGGTACCCAACACTTTAGACTTAAATAGATTTGGCTCGTTTAATTTTCAAAATTTTTTGACAAAATATTTACTTTGACCTGTTGACAAAAATATAAAACTTTCAAGAAATTTGATCCACACTATTTACAGGAATAATTTCCTTGGATATATAGCAGTTTGACAAACACTAACTTTGATCATTGAGAAGCTTGATTTCTCTATACTAATAGTATGTGATTGATACGTTCAGCTGATTTTTGGAGAGTTAACTCCCTTAGGTGTTCTGTACCTCCTTAAATGAAAATTAAAAGTGTTTTGATACTTTCAACCAAAGCGGACAATAAAACTCAAGTAAAGAATTAGATAGTAAAACCGTGATTTGAACACAACACAATATAACTATCTACCTTAACTTGACTTGATGTCCGTTATTATTCCTCATTTACTTATAATAAATAACCTAAAATATTTGGGGAAAAAATGAACATTTTACTTACCTTAATCTCTGACTGAAGAACTTTTCAAGACGTTGTCACGAGTTTGAATTTGGTGTTACAATAACCATTGTTTTATACTCTGAGGAAAGTCGTCTTTTTTTTTCAAACTGTTACCTTTACTTGATTATAAATAAAAATTAAAAATAGAAATAAGTTAACCTAAATGACAATCCTTTGTCTTTATTGTAAAAACTTAATATCGAATTGATTTTTATATATATGTAAATAAGTAACACACTGTCTTTTATGTCAACAACTCCACAGTATATCATGTAATTCTGGTGATTTCATGTGTAACTTAAATGAATTTCTAAATTTGAGTTAAAGTTTAAAATGAATGTATTTCATTTATTCTAGTTTTTTGACTGTATAAACTCTACGTTTTATATAAATAAAGGAGATTTTAGATAGTTACTGTTTCGGTATTTGTATGATTTAAATAATTTATTTAGTTTGTAAATTTCGATTTAATCATAATTGACCTCGGATAGTTCTGCATGTTCCATTTAGACAATTTTATCTCAATGCTCTTAAACATGTTAGATTTTAGTTTTTTTCTAAATTTTGGCAATGCGCGTACACAATCAAGGTTTTTGCAGAAACACATTTTGTACGCAAAGGATATCATTCATTGTGGCTGCTGTTTTATGTCAAACTCCGAAACAGTGGTAACGGCCAATCTGTTGGTATGTGTAATTTTAGCTAAGCGACATTGCAACTGTTTCTGGGTTTGGTTTAATGCTTTTTATCATTTGGAAGCTTGGAATTCATGTCTGAACTTTGGTCTTCCTTGAAGTCCATGACTTTTCTCAAAAGTAAGATTCCTACGTCGATTATGTCATGTTTTATTTGTTTATAAACTGAATGCAAGTTGAAGATGCCTCAATGTGCAGTATTTCAAAATTTGTATAATAATTTTTTAAAGCATTGTTTTGTCTGTGTTGGTCTTCAACCATACAAATTTGGGTACAGACGTCTGACTATGGTTTAACCCCCACCCCGGCCCATGCATATATTGATTCTTGCGAAAATCCCTACCCATACATATATTTCATAGGAAAATCATAACCCATTCATATATTTCCTAGCTACCAGCTAGGCATACAATTTGTACATGCCATCCATGTTAACCACACGGGATCATTTATATCAATTACATAAAAAGATCAGTACACAGTATTTACAGACATCTTAGCAGAAAATGAACATTTATGACCCATTGACATATAAATTTTTACCCATTGACACACCGAAAAAGCAAACCATACCAGCGGCACTTCTGTGTTTACCTTTGAATAGGAAGAGACCCCCTCCCCCTCCCTGTATATCAACAGGTATAACACTGTGAAAACTCATCAACGATACCAGGCTTATAATTATTTAGTATACAAGACAGTCATGCTTTTCAGATAATACCATAATAAATAGTTAGTTAAAACTTATCGAAAACTATTGTTAGAGCAAACCTAATTGTATACTTACATCTTACAATATTTAAATTTTCTTTTTAAGAATTATCAAGAAACTAAGGTTCAAGCTCCCTCATGCAACATTGACCTTAAACAAGTTCAGTGGTGGATCCAGAACTTTTTATAAGGGGGGGGGGGGGGGGGGGGGCACTGACTGCCATAAGAGGGGGCCAGCTACAATTATGCTTCAGTGATTCCCTATATAATCAACCCAATTGTTTCCCATGAAAAGGGGGGGCCGGCCCTAAAGGCCTCCTGGATCCGCCTTTGAATTTTAGCTATTCTTTGCAGGTCACTTCAAATCGTGTAGCTCCTCATATTTTCAAGTATTTACGCATCCTTGCCTTAAATTTTGTTTTTGTCTCAGCATAACTGACGAAAGTCAATCCAGAAAAGCGCTTAAGACATAGCACATAAAAAAGGTGTTATTTTTATTAAAAGGAAAAAAAAAACATTAATATAGTAAGGGGGGGGGGTTAACACACATGCTGACAAAAAGCTCATTAAGCGTTTCTTCAAAAGCAATCTAGAGATATAAGTGTATGGGTGTCAGCATATTGTGCGAAATGAAAAATAAAGAAATAGCAATTACATATATACTAGTATGCTCTTTGGCATTTTGGAAGCACACACACACACAACTGACACGATGCAGTTGTGAAGGGTGTCCCCAAGACAAATTTTTACAGTTGTAACGTTCCTCGATATACTTATGTTTACAAACTATATAAGTCAAGGGTCCATTTCTGTATTAGTCTGCTATATTAGGTGGAGGTATTTGAAAATGTAAGTGAATGACATACATGTTATCTACTTCTTTGCTATTTAGACAGATAACAACAACGCCACAATTCTGTTACCAAATGTTTATGAAAATAATTAGACAATGTTATCTTGTTCGCAATTATTAGACAGGTTTTCAATAAAGTACGGCAATGTCATGCTTTTGTTAGACAATGTTATGTGTTATTCGCAATAATTAGACGTGGTTATCAATAAAGTATGACAATGTCACACTTTTGTTAGAAAATGAGATCTTGTTCTTCGCTATAATTAGACGAGGTTTTCAATAAAGTATGGCAATGTCACACTTTTGTTAAACAATGTTATTTCGCTATAATTAGACGACGTTTTCAATAAAGTATGACAATGTCATAGTTTTGTTAGACAATCTGATTTAGTTCTTCGCTATAATTAGACGAGGTTTTCAATAAAGTA